CCCCAAAACCCCAAAACCCCGAGATTTAAAATTAAAGTGAATTGAAATGAAATTAGAAAATAAAATATAATGAAAGACAGTAAAGAGACAACTGAGCAGGATCAGACTATAAAGATCTCAGACAACATCATTGTTATTGAAAAGGAGTTCAAAAACGACAGTTCTCACAGAGATCTCATTACTGGCATCAAGGACCTCAATGATCTAGAATTTCTCACTTGTGGAGTTGAAATGGCTATGAAAGTATGGGACAAATCTCTGCAAACCTGTGACTACACCATTGAAACGCACAAGCCATTGTACACAATGGCTATCACTGGCGAGCGTAACGACATCATGATTGCAGCACTTGGAGATGGAGATCTCATTGTGTTTGGCTTGACCAACAAGAACCAACTAGATATAGTAGAAAATGCTCACAACTCTACTGTGATCTAGATCGTTTCACTCTAGAAACTTAAGAATAAGTACTTTGCTTCAAGATGTATTCACGGAAATGTAAACATATGGTCAGCTACTCATCATCCAGATCGTTTGTTCACAATTGAGAATATCGATAAGGATGAGCCTTCTTATATGCATGAAGCTACTATGAATGCAACTAAACTAGAGTAGCATGAAAGTACTATGCTTTAAACTGCAACTGGATCTTCAGCCTCCGAGAGAGATATGATGATAGAGTTGAAATTCACTCTATAAAATCAGAGCTCATCTACTTTGCTTTGCTTTTCCAATTATAATGACTCTCAAATAGTGATTGCAGTAGTTGACTTAAAAACAAGAAGAAAGACCATTAAATCTACTTTCAAAAATCAAAGAAAGCCAACTTATATCTATCAGATAAATGAGCAAAATTTATTTGTTGGAACTGAAGGTGGGATGATTGAGCATTGGCAAATTGAACCAGGCAACTTAGTTTAAACTTTTGAAGCTCACACAAAGAGTGATGAAGGCATCTCATCAATAATTTAGTTGAAATCAGAGAGTTATCTCTTGTGGGGTTCATATGATTCTCTAGATAAGAGCGACTACAAGTTGTTGGCAACTGCATCTCAAGGCTCTCCTGAGTTTAGACTTTGGCTATTACATCATAATCCAAGTGACAATACAACTACCCTGAAACCTCACATAAGAATTGAGACTTCCTTGTAAAACGGCATTAAGTATTTGCTTGAGTCTTCTCAGACCTAAATTGTAGCTGTCGACACTCATAAGACACTAAAATTCTACGAATTCATTGATAAGGTCAAGAAAGAAGAGGAAGAAGCAAAAATAGCTTAGGAAGAAAAGCTAAGTTAAGTGTTTAGAGATGTTTTGAATAAATATGATAGAGATGGATCAGGCTTGATTTTGTATGATGAATTGGAGGCCATATTGACTGATTTCTTCTACGAGATCTAAATACCTTACCCTGGAAATTCTCTAGTAGAAAATTACATGGCATACTTAGATCAAGATGGAAACAAAAGTTTGAACAAATATGAGATGAAATATCTCCTGAATCTGATAACTGATTACGGGGCAGAAAAAATGCTGAAGAAATGACGATGGGAAAGCAGCATTTAGGAAATTTTATGTTCATGTAGTGAAGATGATGATAATTATTTAATCTCAGTAACTATGAATATACAAAAAATGAGTACAGTCTTATATTTTATACTACTCAATTATATTAAATATATAGCATAAGATTTTAGTTATATTCTTATCATTAGGGCTTCTTTTTAGACATCATTAGTGGCTTGGCATATATATTCTGCTACTAATTATTATTCCTGCTCTGGTCCATATCAGTTATCGATCCTCCCAGATCAAGTTACTATTCCTACTTCTACTGTTACCTTTGTGTATTTTTAACTTCGTTTTACTGTATCAGCATGCTACCTTAGTTTGGGGCAGGTCCCAATCGTTTGGGCTATAGTATATCTTGATCACTTGAGATAGTGTTATATTGCTACTACTTTGCATCTAGGTTCAGGTGCATTTAGTCCATTCTGGGAGTCATCATCTAAGGACCCTTAAGTTTTTCAATAGGGTTTCTTGAATCTCTAACATGAATATCGTCTGTTAAGAATACTTAGGTATTGGATGTTTACTTCCCTAGATCTTGATTAGATGCATAATATCTTTGTGATTATTATTATTGATATTTCTACTCATGCAATTTAACATTTTCTTCAGTTAGCACTACATCCTAATAAGTTACTCTGCCATTTTCAAGCTTCTTTTTTAACACTTTTGAGCCTATTTCACTCTAGGATTGATATTTGATATGTCCATTTTTACCTTTTGTAAGGGCTTTTGGGCTGCTTGCTAACGGTTTCAAAGTTTTATGCCTTAGACTTCGTTTTAGTTCCTTTATTTTTAAGTCAGCTAATCGACTTTCTTGCTCTTTTTCACGAACTTAAAGCTCAAGCACCTTAACATCATGATCAAGTTGCTCAATTTCTATTTCCTAATCTTATAAACTTTGCTTTAGAGTCCTCTCTTCTTGAAGATGATTTTACTTGCATTTATCGATTTCATCCTTTAGCTTATTCAAAGTAGAACTAGAAATATCCTACAGATCTTAGTCTGACTTGTCCTTCTTCGTTTTTAATCCCTCAGTTTATTCTTTGATTTGATGTTGCATTTTGCGTACTCTGTGATCCATTTGCACTAAGCCATCATGCTTTTCTATGAGGACCTTATCGTTTTCAAGTTACTCATAGTATATTTCTCGATACTGCTTTTTCAATGAACGTAGTTGTGTAACCATATCTTAAATCTTTTCATCATAATCCCCTTCTCTGTTAATTGCTTAAATAGCCACTTGCTACTCATCCTGCACTCTTTTCAAAGCCATTTCTTCATCCTTCAATTCTTTAATGCGACCTTGTTTATTCTTGATCTCATTTTCGAGTTCATTGAGGCGCTCTATGTTATATGATTCTGAGAGTTACTTCCTTAAGTCCTTTATTTCTTTTTAGTAATGATGTATTTTATTGAGCTTTTCTAGCAGAACTTTGTCTTTTGACTTTAGAGAGTCATCAGGTTAATACTTCTAAGGCTTGTATTTGTCGTTTTTCTTGGAATAAAAGCTTATTGCATAATTCTCTAGCAAGTCCAGCAAGCCATTTACCTAGTCTCGAAGTTTCTCGTTTTACTTGCCAAGTTTTGGTAACAGAAATTATTTATCATCATCTGAGATGTCTTGTGGTCTTGGTAAAGTTTACTTCAAAGTCAGTTTAAAAGTTCTTGCTTGTTGCTCTTTTGCAGTGGTTTCATCTAAATTTCCAGTGCTCTTAGCTTTATCTCTTCCTTAAGGAGATTTACTATTTGAGTTGTCTCTTTTATTTTATTACTGTGATTTTCCCATTGAATCTCCCAGCTTATCGCTCTTTCGACCCATTTGATTATGATCATTTACTACTCTCTCAGTTTAATCATACTAATCGTAATCTCTCTCATTAACATCATCGTCATCGTCTTCAGCTATTTTGTAGTTATTTGTTTTATACCCTGAAGTGGACCCGCCTAAAGGTTAATTTTTAGACTTCTTGATTGACTTCTCATTATAGTTAACTGAGTTCAAGTAGTCGTCGTCTTGCATTATTTATAATTATAAGTGCTAATTTTATATTCCTACAAGCTATTTACTTTCGATTCATTTATTCTGCTGTGCGGGGTTTTGGGGTTTTGGGGTTTTGGGG